GTACAGTAGGAAGTATTTTTATATTGTAGAAATGAGCCCTGCGATCTCTGTTGCAGCTATTTTGTCCCACCCAGTGAGCACTTACTGCACATCCCTGGGCCCATGCTGGCCCAGGCCAGCCCTGGGGGCACAGGGCAGTGCACGGGAGGCAGGGCGATGACATGTGGGAACAGACTAGGGTGCACCATGCTGGGCATCTGGAAGGCTTCTCTCCTCTGCTATTTTAAAGAGTTCTGGAGTTCAACCGTCCATGAATTTCCACCACCTGAATGGTCCAACTGTCCAGAGACCTGTCTGTCCGCAGGGCCAACTGCATCAAGATAGGAGTAAACTCACTTCCAGAAGAACGCTGGGGTCTGCTCAGCCTGGGCCATTCTCAGCACACTCTGGCTGTCTCCTGGTTCTGCTGGCTCCTCACACCTGGGCCCACCCATGGGCCCCTGCTCACTGCCTTCTCCCCAGTCCTCCTGCCACTCCCGTCACAAGCACTCTGCCACTCCAGGCACTCTCCTGTGTGTCTTCTTCACACTCGTCTGCATGTGCTTGTCTGCCATGCAGACTGTCGCCCATCAGAACACAAGCTCTGGGCACAGGCTTTGTCTGTCCATCCACCATCCTGATCACTGGTAAACAGCAAGTGCTCAAGCGTTTCTTGCCTAAGTGAACGGATAATTCCCTTTACCTCAAGACCAGCCTGAAAGCACAGTGTAGGTCCAGGGGTCCTAATTTAAGTCCAAACCAAAGGTAAACTAAGTCCTGACTTACTCATATGACACTCCTACTGAATTTTCTTTCTTTTTTTTTTTTTTTAACTATTAAAGCAGTTCTCTGTTCTCTAACGTACATAGCCTCAAGTCACACATAAGACACTTAACACACTATATACACCACACTCAGCAAACTAGAATCCTCGCTGAAAGTCATGAACACTGACCCTTCTTGGCACCCTGCCACACATGTAAACCCAAGTTGTACCACAGCAGCTGTCACAAGCAAAGGAAGGCCATAACCAAGGGTTGACCACAAGTCGAATGCTACCTGGGGTCTATGACCTCACAGCCTTCAGGTGCAGCACCCTTATCTCCTCTGCCTCCATTCATCTCACTTCTAACACATCTGTCTTTTATTTATTACAATAAAAGTCGAAGCAGATTCAAGGGAATTCAGCCACTGCCAAATCGCACAGCTTAAACCTCATCTTTGGATTCTAGGCCGTGTGCCCTGCCTTCTTCACGGCACTTCATACTGCATGGACAAAACACTAGATGCTGAGCAGCTCACATTCCAGCTGCAGAAACAAGATGCACCACCAGAAAACAGTAAAAATGCTGTGTTGGGAATAAAGACGACTGGTGCTGCGAGACTCCAGAGGGGCACCAGAGCTCCAGAAGCTAGGAAAAGCTGACCAGACATTTACAAACAGGTAAGAGCGGAATACACAGAAAAGAAGGAAAATGCTCAGGCAATCCTCCTTACTCCAAGGTCACCTCTCACCCTAATGAGGGCAACTTGCCAAATCAGATAAACACCTCACCCTCACTGAATCCCTAAGCCACGGTCAGCCTCAGCTGAGACATGTGTGGTCGCCACCCACGCTTCCCCAAGCCAGCACCTCCACCTGGTCTCCATGTGTCTGTCACTGAGTCATAAAGCTCACTTCTTTTGCTTTTTGTCTTACTTCTACCTATGCTTCAGAGTTTAGAAAGAATATTTCCTATTAATATGAATCTGTACTGCACAGACTCTGTACAGATTTCTTTGATCTTGCTGACATGAGTCAATTTTTAAAAGAAAACATACAACACCTTAAGAATGGAATGGCTTCTCAGACCGCCTACCAGTTCTTCTCAAATTTCAGTGTCCTTATGACTGATCACTGGGGTGCATCTTTAAAATGCAGTTTTTAGGCCCAAACCCAGAGATTCTGATTCAATAGGTCTTAAATATATTATCTTGCTAGAAGGTTAATTTTAAAGTTTAAATGCTAAACTAGGGGCTGGCCCGGTGGCGCACTGCTACAGTGTGCCGCTTGGGAGCGCGGTGGCGCTCCCNGATCCCACATACAGACCGGCCGCTCACTGGCTGAGCGAGGTGCGGGCGTAACACCGAAGGTTGCGATCCCGTTGCCGGCCCCGGTCTGGTGCGGGCGCGACACTGAGGGTTGCGATCCGTTGCCGGTCACAAAAAAAGACAAAAAAAAGGAAAAAAATAAAAATAAAAATAAATGCTAAACTACATCTCTTTACCTCATCTGAGTCTTAGGACTGCACATACAGCAAATAAACGTTTATGAATTTTATACTTCTCTGGTATAAACAGGGTGTGCAATCCCTGTGGGGCAATGAATTCTTCTAAATGCTGCCCTAGTTCAGCAGACATTTGCTCCCATCATACAGGAGGACGAACAGAGGACAAAGGAGAAAAATCACCTGCCTCACATGACACACCATTATGAAGACTGTAAACTAATCTCTTAGATTTCTTACATCAGAAATCGATGTGAAAGTCAACCAATCATAGCAGAAATCAACATAACATTAACCAGCCCTGGTAGATATTGACTTAACATTAACTAGCCCTGGTTATGTATCCAACAGAGTTCAAACTAAATAAAGGTAACACAGACTTAAAGGAAGGTCACTTCTTTTTCTCGTGTTTTTTGAAACATAAGATAGTTTAAGAGTGGGAGAAGTGTACAATTAAGATTTTCTCGATCAGATTCTAACCAAATATGTATTTTTGAATTCATTTATTCACGGATACACACTGTTTAAAATATTCCTCTACGGGAAGAATTTCAGCCAGGGTCCAGGCAGTTTTCTAGGTTTTGGTTGGGCTTTGGGCAAACAGTATTATTTTGAGAATGGTCCTACGAGCTGTTGAATTTAGGAGGAGGAGAGGAAATTCAGAGTTCCCTTAATCCAGGAGCCAAGAGGTTAATGCTTTTGGGAGGAAGCAGGGCTTGCAGAGGTGGGG